CCAATCAGCGCGCGAGAAATTTACGAGATAAAAATTCCCTTAACATTTATTCACCGCAGTTCGAACTACAATTTCAACATTTGAAGTTAGATTTGATATGCGGAGTCCTGAGTCCCCTGGCTCTCCCACTAGGTCCATGTATGAAGTCTCAATGGGGGGGGTCCGCATCACGACTCACGGCTAAAAATTTGACTTTTTCACGCCTCACGGCTAATTTTTTCTCATTTTCACGACTCACGGCTAATTTTTCAGCCGTTTCACGGCTATTTTTTCTCATTTTTACGATTCACGGCTAATTTTCACGGTTAACCCCATTGAGACCCTCTAGTATGGCAGTCACAAAATTCTGACCGCAAACAAAAGTATTTGAAATTAAAACCTTTGATTTATCATCAATTAAACTGTCGAGTATATAATAAATGTTTAGAATAGCCCTAAACTGATTTGTAATTTGATTTGAGCAAGAAAAGTGAAGTTCATATGAAATTACCCATGATGCATCTGATCTAATGAAATATTTTTGAAATTGAGTGAGCTCGTATAATGTTCAGTTTATTCCTAACAATTGCCATAAATATCAAATGTATAGTTTTAATACAGACTTTTTCTGAAAACAAAAACGGGACAGTGTGTTTTAAGACCGAGATGCATTTTGGGGCGTGCTATCGCCGTTCAAATGAGTTTTTATGGTTTCTATATCATCTTCGTACAAAATACCTTCAATAGAAGCAATAAAAGAAAAAAAGTTTTCTTGTAAAGCAGCAATATACATCCACCAAACTATTCTGCTGATTTTCTATCTTCCATGTAGTCTCCACAAGCAGCCGTCAGGGGGAGAGACCAGAGAACGAGCTTCATAGAGAAGACTTATGTAAATTTAATTAGTCTATGAACATTTAAGAAAAGTAATAAACTCATTAAAACAATTTCATATCTAATATTTCAGTTTTTTCAAAGTTTTGTTGATACTAAAACGACTAAAACGTCATCAACTCGATATCTGGTCGCATTCATGGAGACAAAAAATACTCTCAAATAATATTTAAAAGAATTTTATTATTTACAAGCTTCAAGAGATACTTACAATTGTTTTATGAACCAACAAGAGTGCAAATAGCGATACTTATTAGCCATCAGTTAATTTTTTTTATCTGCTACTTTTGTAATTGATAAAATGCTGATATATAAAAAATACCTCATCCGCGTCTGAGGCGCTTAAGAATCTATTTGCACTCAAGAAACATATAAATATTATAATAAAAACTCGAGCAATTGATAAAACGATAACAGGAACATTTGAATTCTGATAAGTTTCTATGTACAAAATTTGAAAATTAAGGAGGCTGTTATCTGTGACATGTTGTCATGGCAGCAAGTTTCATACATTTCTTACACTGAACACTACAGCACCAAACGAACTTACAATCACATTTCACCGAACGAACGATTAATTTTTTCTTAAGCTTATAACCACATGAAGTACAAATATCATTACATCTATTATAATTGGGGTCATCACTGTAGCATACTCGACCMAGGACACCAAGGGAGCCAGTGATTGCGTTGAAACGGCAGTAGTCTGGAGACGAATCAATAAAGACCAGGCTGCGCTCCTTTTTGGGGACTGGGACCAGGCTGACTTTCTGCATGAGTTTGGAGTTCTTGATTAAGACGGCTTTGGCTTTGAGGTATTTTTCTTTCAGGTACTTGCCGACTTCACGGAAATTAGCGAGTTGTTTCCAGCARGTTTTGGTTGAACAGCTTCCACAGACGCCATGACACTTGCATTCTTTCTTTAAGGTGGCTTTGACAGCCTAGAAGATGAACGAGAAAATATGAGTAAACTGACTTGGGAATTGATCGTTAGCTTTCYGTTTTTCAATAATTCAATTTGGCAATTAAAAAGACTAATCATGGTCGCAAAAACACACCATAATTTAACTAATATTTACCTTGCGTCCAACCTGGTTGTTGTGGAGATTCATGGCRCTTCTAGCTTTCTTGTTCTTCTCTAAGGCGTCCAGGAAATGTCTGGCCAAGATGTCACCAAAGCGTACGTTATCGTTACAGCCACCCCAGTCTTTCTTGGATTTTTTATTCTGGACACAGTCGCAGTTCTCAAACTTTCCTCTTCGGCAGTCCTCGGTCAGACGGTAGGTAACACCAGCGGCGCTGATACTATGGACAAACGCTGTCTCCCTATTGGCTGAAGTGTGAATAAAAATTAGAATTTTGTCATGATGGCTGACGTAATTTACCCATCATTGCTATGCGTGTATGATAAACTAAAGTAGTAAATAAAAATGAAAAATGCACAAAAAGAAGATGACTTAAATAARGGAGTGAATTCGTGCGAAATGCAAAAATATTCCAAGAGAATCACCAAGATTCATAAAAGTCAAAATACTAAGAAATAGTAAAAAACTGATGAGTTTAAATAATGATTTTTAGCTTACCTAACGGAAGACTTGACTGGACGAATATTGGCATCTCAGTTAGTCGTTTGTTGCGAAAGGAGACGCTGCAGTTCCACTTTTCGGTCATAAACTGATTCTTRCATTCAGATARTCCCAGCTTAGCGCCTTGTCGAACACTTTCCATGAGACCCTGGTAGGCCTGGAGATGAAAATAACTCAATTAATCACGTGATYAAAAGTAMTGCATGTTGATGTTATCTTATACAAAATGGTTTCTGCTGCAGATTATTTACAGCCAACAATGTAATTTCTTCAAACAAGTTTATTTATTAAACTAAAACAATAATGTAGGTTGAAAACTTAATACAAATGAAAAACTGTATATGATTTTTCCACAATTAGTCAGATTGAAAAAAGAATCAGACGGCTTTTTAGAGCTCAAAGAAAACGTTGGCATATTTTGCTAAAAAATTTCTATACTTAGAGTCATTCAAGCAAACAGATTAGACTTTTTAAGATGTATGCCATCGCACAAAACAGTCAAATTAAATACCTCATTCATACTAAGAAATCGAACACGGACATTTAAAAGACGGTACTAGCAAATACTATGAACTTTTCAGCTTACAAAACTAAKTTATGGTAAATTCATTCACAATACAACCAAAAAGATCACCAAAACATTCACGATAAAATGCCTCGTTCATACCAAGAAATCAAACACTTGCTAGCAAATACGATAAACTTTTTTCCTGCTCCAAAAAAGATCACCRTACTAATTAAGCTCAGTAGACACATAATTTTCCCCGAGAGAAGYATAAAAACGTTTTGCGTTTTGGTGGACGACAAGAGTTGCCATGGAAGACTGATCCTACGTTTTGACTCTCAGAAGAATCTAGTATTTTTCAAAAAGATTATCGAAGTGGCATTCTCAAAACAATTCTTAAACAAAGATATCCAAAACACTGAAGAAACTGAAACTTTAGCCGTGAATAGTCAACAGAGTGAGAAGGAGATGAAGAAATAAGTTTCTTGCTGGCAGAAAGTGCCTTGTTGGAATTTACGCTCTCATGCAATGGTAAAAATAGCTAAAAGTACTTCAAGTGCAGCTTATAGCTTAAAACTACAGATTAACAAAACTCAAGAAGTTTACCGGAAAGTTTCGAGTGTTTTTCAAATGCCTAACCTACCAGTTTACTTTGAATAAAGCCAATTTATCAAATCCCACAGAGCGAGCCGACCATTAACGAGATTAGCAAAAAGAAAGTAGATATTTACCTCTCCGCCTGTTTGAAGAATCCGAAGTGCTGACCTAAAACACGTAAAAAACATGCGGTTAACAAAGCGGTCGGAAAKTTAAGCGGCGAAAGCAAGYATTTGGCGGCTTGTAACTTTAACTAAATAACTTTAAACAATAATAGAGGCTTACCATTTTGCTCTTTTAGCTTGGCAGGAGTTTTCAAGCGAWAAAAGGATGATTAAAGCGTAGATAAAGTAGTTCTTCATGATRTTCAGTTTACAACTGTTCACTCTTCGTACGTACTGTAGAAGTGATTGATCCTAGTGTCTCAATCGAGCTGTTTTATAATCCTGTAACTAATTGATATTCATCGTTTATATCATGTCATAACAATAGCACTGAAGCTGTAAGCAAACGTCGTTCAAAAGAAAACAATGCAAACAATACTAAAGTGCGAAGTCCTTTAGAAAACAAAAGTCTCATAGACGTGTTAGAATTGCTAAGTGGTGTCGTGTTAGATTAGATTTTGGCGGATTTATAACAYCAATCTTCGCAGTATAAACTGTTAATAAGCAATATAAGGCTTTGATTAGCTTCTGGTTAATGTATTGAGTAAAATCTTTCCTATAAACTTGCTTTAATTAGCGATTAGAAATTCACACAAATAGGTGGCCATCTTGAAAAGTTACAATGGCATTCAAAACATCCCTGTGAATGATTAAGGAAGGTAGTGACGTGTTTAAGTCTCTCAAAAACGCTAAAAACGGAATCCAAACTTCTTAAGATCCTAAAATAAGTTGTTTGCGAAATGGAGGGCTCCATTACGTTTTTCTATAAGCCATTCAATTTTCAAAACAATAGAGTTTGCAGCTAATTCCCAAAGGGTAACCTATTGTTTGCTCCCACGCTTTYTTCGTAACGTTATTTTACAGCAAAAGTGTCTTTACTTTGTTATCAGAAGAAAAATAATGTTTTCGCGTGGTTTTCGTTTTGGTTTTAGTATCGGTGGCTAGTGTGAAAGCCAGATATAAGGATAAGATTTATTAATTGTGTTTCGTAATTGAATTATTGCCATTACAATCATTTKTGTTATTGCCACGAGGGCTGTTTATTATAAACTTTTCTAAGCTTTATTGGTAAATAAAGGTTTTGAAGTAAATTACAGCAGTAATAATAGATAATTTGATAAATTGCGTCCATAGGTTGTTGTAATTATGAAATCTTTTATTGCACTGCAAAAATGCGTTCAATTTAGTGAACTATGCAACCCTTTTTCTTGCTCAAGTTTAGTTCAAGCGCAGTTTATCTCTGGAATGATAAGAGCCTTAAACATAAAAAAAGAGTTAGAAATAAGACAACTATTAAATCCTTTTTCATTGTCATCGCTCCTTAGCTGTTTTATTCATGCAAAATGTCATCTGCAACCAAATCATCGACTCGCGGGAAAAAGGAGTTAATGAATACTATTTCACAATGAGTGCTTGCGACTCTTAAGTAGTTATAAACAAACCATTACAATACGTAAGCTTGGAAGAAAAAATAGCATTGAAATGAGCGAGAAAAGCCGTTTCTTTATATAGAAAAACGGCTTTCAAGCGAATAGTCAAGTTGTTATTTAACAAAAGCATTAGAAGATATTTTCCTGCATTTCTTTTCAAGTTCTGTTAGAAACACTTGGGATTGTTGGGAGAACACGGAAGGCTTTTTTTTCTAAAGCTCAATATTAAACCCGTTTAATCGCACTTGACTCATTCACAAACAACTATATATTAACAGAAAAAAAAAAACATGAACCTACGATTCTCGGTTAGGAGTTTTCGCCGTCATGTTAGATGGTAACGGCTTTCGCTTATCCAAGATGAGACTTCATGTCTCTTTTAGGTCGTCTACTTTTATCAGGAATTGCATTAACTGTAAACTTCTCTTTTTTAACAATGATCTTGAAACTGTGTGAAAATGCAGAGTTGTTGTTGCTCAAAAATGGGACGGAATGTTTGTTGTTTGAAGCTGTTCTTAGATTGGCCTTATAAACCCGGCCCGTGATACACCTTCAGTTAGTACATGTACTGAATTTATATGCTCTTTATTTTAACGCTCTTGTTTTTTTTTTGTCTTTTCGTGTGATTGCTAAATTTTGGCTGTTACACTCTATTTCAATGAAAGCGACTCCAAAGACAAGAATTGGATAGAAAGTAGATTAGGACTGACTCAACAACTTATTCATCTATTGCAGAAATAGATGGCCTTTTTGAAGATTTATCAGGAATTCTACAAAATAATGTCGCATGAATCTTAGCTTCTTTAGTCGATGGTTTTCATTTACTATTCTACTTTTTTTTAAACACATTCCTCTTCTGGCTTCGGTGTATTACACAATGCGTCTTGATAATTACACTTTGTCCAGTTACGGTTTATTAAAAACCAGTCTAAGCAAGTTTGTGGACTTTTTTGGCAAACACTAACACATACCACATAAGAGATTTTTTTCATAAGAAATAAAGTTGGAGACAAATAGGAACAGTTGTTCAAACAAGCTAATTTTCCGGCGTGTTTGAAAAATCCTAAAACAACCATTCTCTCAACAATAACAATGAAAACAACAAGTGTAAGCATGGTTTTCAAAAGAGTTGTGAAAACATTAAGTTGTTTTAAGTTGTTTTGGCGTGGGTTATGGTGGCGTCGGAGTTGAACAATACGTGTGATATTTCCATAAATCATTCTATTGTTAGCTGTTGATTGTTTACTGCATGACGCAAGCGTCGCCTTAATTTCTTTGTCTTCTCGCAGAGTTGTTTTGCATTGTTTGCAAGATTATTATTTTCTTATTATTGATTTGGTCTTGTGATCCAGCGGTTTTATTTTTGAAAGAATAATGATTGTTTTGATAAAAATTGCAATAAACTTTATTACCAATATGGCCACCATGCAGCTCCACTCCATTGCTATTTGAAAACAAACTTTTGGATATCCAGGAACAACAACAAAAAGTTTCAATTCGTAGATTGTTAATTGTTGTCAAGAGCAGTGAAAGTGCTCTATGATTGGTCAATTTTATTCTGTCAATCATGTGCGTAGCGTGGACGTCACTTTTTGCAGTTACGCAAGACTCCGTATCAGAACTCGAAAAAGATTTGAAAAAAGTTTCCTTTAGTTTGTTCATTGTTCGTTTTCCGGAAAACTAAGTGGTTGTTTGCAATAAAACAAACACAATATTTTGAACGCTTTTCCTTATCTTTTCGTGTGATAACTATACTTTGGCTGTTTCAACAGCTAATGAACGCGACTCTAACGGGAAGAATTTGATGTAAAGTAGGGAAAACTCAAAAACTTATTTATTTATTTGAAGATAGAAGGCCTTTTAAAAGATTTTATCAGAAGTTCTACAAAATAATCAGGCACAAAACTAACTTCTTTATTCTGATTTGTAAATTGATTTTCATCAATCCGTGACAATTAAGATGTTACTGTTTTTTATGATTTGTGAATGCAAAAATAAGGAAGCCAATAGTTTCCTTCACGGCTATCTGCGCCATCTTGAAAGGTAGCCGTGCCTAACATCGAAGCGAGACGACAGTTGAGCGTTCAATGATAGAAACCTTTCTTTCACACCTACAGATAATTATTCACAGGTATCTATCTTTGCACACTCAACGGCTGTCTCGCTTCGATGTTACTCCCGTTTTGGTATCATAAGAATGCAATTTTCTTTTGGCTGCGTAGAAAACTGCATCCATCTATTCATAAATCCATGAATTCTGACTGCATTGTATGATTTACTTACTTATTTAAATCATAATTAAAGGACCAGTTTGCACCATTACGCTATTATTTACCAAAATACTTCTAGTATCCAAATATCACCATAAAACGAATTTCAGATGGTTGAAAACTCTTATATTAGCGTTTAAAGTGCATAGAAAAGTGAGATGGTCAAAGATTCGAAAGACACAATACAATTTATAGACTTTCGGTAAGCTGAAAATGGCCGCCTCCAAACGGCCCCCAAAGCATAATGCACACAACAAAAAAAACTTTTGTTTCTTATACTTGAAGTCCTAAAAAGTATTTTATTTTGTTATTGTTGCTATCATTGAAAAATTCAAACTTTAAAACCGCCTAAAGTAACCCTACTCACAATGAATGCACTCTTTAGACTTCTCCTACGCAGTTTTTCAATCTCAATTACTAAAGTAACAAGCTGATAAAGAATAACAGAACTAGTTTAGCTTGCTCTCATGTACTCTCACTAAATAAAGTACAAGAAAAGCTTCAACCG